TCTCTAGTAGAGAATGTTTATGGTAGCAATTGACAGAGAAAATGATAAAAGACTGCAGTGGAGCCAAGCAGTTGACAGAGTGGGTGGAAAAGATGGAGAAAGGCAAACTTAAATAGCTCTGTTCTTCGTTTTTGTCGTTTTGGGTCAGACATCTCCACTTAGAGGAAAGGAAAGCCTTTGGGGGTTTCTGGCACGTGCAAGCCTTTAAAAAGTCATCAGAGTGGAAACTGTCGAAGAGGAGACCCCCTAAAATCAAGCCAAGTAGGCAAGCAGACCAATACCCACATCACACACTGTAATCGAGTGCCAGTTCATACCATGTCAGACTGGTCTAACAACACAGTGCCATGTTCATAAATGTCAATAAACACATTAACCACCAGCGCAGCCCAGTATGAGCTCCAGAACAAGATGAAAAGTTCAAATCCACAGGGAACACTGTGACATCTGGAACTGTGCTGACATGTTTTAGTGCAAAACTTCAAATAAAGTATGGAGTTGTAGTCAATGTAACACGTGTAAATGATAATATGCTCTTTTAAAGCATAGTTAACTCAAAAACAAAAATTTACTCAACACTCTCCTTCAAGTTGTTTCAAACCTTGTTCCAAACCTGTTGAACATAATTAAAAATATTCTGAAGAATGTTGGAAACTGGTAGCCCATGACATTTATAGGAAGGGGGGAAATGTACAACATTCTTCAAAATAACTTTTGTGTCACAAAAAGTAACTAAAACAGTTTTGTTTTTGGGGGATTTTTTTAACACAAACTAACCTTGAGATAAGGACCTGACACAAAGCACAAACCTTAAGGAGTTATTTAGCGATAATGTAAGGTCCCATACTGTACCTCAAAGAAACAATACCGTAACAAGGCTAATGTTTGATTGCTGCAACTGACCACCAATCACAATTAGGAAGCCTGTGACAAAAACCCTACTTGGCCCTTTACAAACAAAACTCTAAAAGCAATGCTACACCCTGAACTCAGATACCATTAAACCTCTGTGGACAATAGGGCTCTGTCATACCCAACCAAGTGCAGAGCTGTGATGCACGTACTGGATACCTGACACCTCACAGCTGCCAGACAAACAACCAATCACAGATATCCTGCCTATCCAGCTTATGTTGTGTTTCTGAATGTGCAGACTTCTGTGACAGAAGATGAGGGCACCTGTATCATCCTATAGTTATCATGACTGACTGCAATACATTTTTCTTGCGTGGTTATTAAAAAAAAATACAATATTCTAGTATAGTAATTGTAAAATGTCTAAATATTTTTAAATAAATGCTAATCAGAAGATTAATGATTTACACTTTTGGTAAAAATAAATAAACTACAAAGCCTTGAAATAGCAGTCTACCTCCTTCAACGTCACGTCGTTAAATTTACCGCCTCTTCACATTTCGAACTGCAACGGCTTTTCTAACTGCCCATTGCCCTCACTTGAGGGTTGCGAGGGATTCAACTATTCACGTGGTGAACCCAGTTCTTCCCAAAAAGACACGGTAATTTCGCTTTCAATATGTGTAATATTTGGAATATTACTGTTTTTGCACATACTGTGATTAAAAAATTTAACGTTACGTATTTTGACTAACTTTGTCCTAACTCAAGTCTCACAGCGCGTGAATATTTCAGGATACAGGACTACCACATTGACTATTCAATCTGCAATTAAAGATGGGGTTTTCTTTCATATCGTGAATATAATACACCAGGACACCGTAGCCTAATATTAACAGACGGTCTTAAAGCAAGCAACTGTGACTCCCCTGTTGGAGACACTGGACACTCACCCCTCGAGGCGAACAGTATGGGGTCGCTCCGCATCTTAAAGTCAAACGCATCCAACTCAGGGTTGGCAGGGGATGCAGGCGTGTGTCCGACAGCTGCTGAATTTCATTAAAATCCGCGCAACAGAGCCGTCTCTGTTTCCCCGCTTTCCCCCTCCACGAAGCAGCACACCTCCGCTCGCAACTGCCCGGCAGTGTCTCCTTTTCACTCACAAAACTTCCTGAAACTCTCCTCGATCTGAACACAGAGTAGCTCTGTTAACTTTTCCGTTTATCGTGATCCCGAAAGCAACCCGCTACGCTTCCCAAGTAGAGCTGCTTGGAGACTCAAAAGAGAATCTCTCACTTTCTCTCCATAACTAGCTCGCCGAAAAGTGGGACCTCCTTCCTTTCAGTGGAGTTTCCTCTCCCTCTTTTCTCCGCCCTGCAGCCCCACTTCTCCAATTCCACAGCTGGATACAGCGCATGTGTGTGAAGAGGGACGATTAATGAGCTTATGTTTACTAAAACTTAAGGGATAGTTCACCAAAAAAATAAAAATCGTCTGTACACAGTTTACTTGTTTCAAACCTTTAGAAATTTCTCCAGTTTAACATAAAGCAAGAAAGATGAGAAACTGTAACCATTAAAGTCCAGAGTATGTGTTTCTCCTGTGAATGTCAATGGTTACAGGTTTTCAGCTTTTATCATAACATCTTCTTTTGTGTTCAACAAAATAATTTTTAAAAGATTTTGAACCACTTGAGTGTAAGTAAAAAAAAATGGTGAATGATTCCTTTACATGCGTGAATAAGCTTATAAATATCAGAGCATTTACCCAAGAGCAATACGTGTGGTTTATTCATAAACTAATTTCGAGAAGATCACGTGCTTATGATTAACAGGGCTGGCTCCTTATTAGCTCCGTAATCTGCCCTATTAGATGATTACGGAGCATTATAAATAATCTGAGTTTTTTTTCCACCCCTACTTCCTGCCCCTTTTCTGATAGGGCGACACAGTGGCCCAGTGGCTAGCACTGTTGCCTCACAGCAAGAACACCGCTGTTCCAACCTATCAGCCCAGTTGGTGTTTCTGTGCGGAGTTTACATGTTCTCCCCGTGTTCATGTGGGTTTCCCCCGGGTTTCCCAGTTTCCTCCCACCGTCCAAAAACATAAACCATAGCCAATTGACTAAAACAAATTATCACCCAATACAACCTTAGTTTACACTACTCACAATGACAAGCAGGGGAGTTCTTAAGACCTACCTGAGCTCGAACTCCCCTCTCGCCCTTCTAACGGGAGGGAGCCCCAGGCTCGAGGATATTACTCAGGGTTCTCTCCCGGGACAGCATGCTAAATACGCTTTGATTATCAGCTAAGTGTGAACTCTTGAAGAGCTTGGATAATAGTACACTAAGTGCCAACGAAGCTGAGAAATACATTTGCTGACCAAAAAATAAATAAATAAATAAATAAGCCACATTAGAGTTTCCCACCACCAACGTTTCCCAGGTGGTAAAAGCAAAAGAGGAACAATGGTTATTGGAGAAAAATTTGATTTAGATTAATGAAATTAATTCACAAATCCACGATTGATTCATTATGTGTGCAAACTTTGCTTTTCCACTTGTGCAAGAATCAGCTACAGTAGCTTTCGTTTTTTGCAATTTCTTTCATCTCATTTTTTAAAATTTATCTCTATAATTTTGGTAACTTTATTATTCTTTCTCCTATTGCTGTTTAACTTTTCAGGCACTCAGTTCCAGCATTAGTTGTCCACTCTCGTTATAGAAATAAAAATATCTTGTCATTTTTTTGCTGCAAATGTCTGTCAGTGTGAACAAGTCTTAAATAAATACTGTAAATAATCTTTGTTATTTATGTTTGTTAGCTATGATGTTATTATTTATAAGACTCTTTTATTGAACTCTCAGACTTTTCTTTTGTCTGCTGTGTATTAAATGTCTGTGCTCTTCATTGTCAACCTGTCAGATTTAAGCCTGATGTGGCCAGAAAAGAATGACATTAGTCATAGACAAAGTGGAGGCAAAGTCTAAGATTCTTGTTAAAAAATAACAACTGAAATGTGTGCTAACATACACTACGGAACAAAAGTTTGGGGTGAGTAATATTTTTAAATGTTTTAAAATAAGCTTATCCTGCTCACCAATGATGCGGTTATTCCATCAAAAATACAGTAAAAATTGTAAAACTAAAAGTGTGCATCATAGGCGCATTTTGAAAACATAGCCCTATATGTTGTACATTTCTGGAGATTGTGAATTATGTAGCTATTGCTGTATTTCATCTTTAAAACCAACGCTATGGGGCGGTATGATGCTTTTACTTTTTGCACTTATTAGCTGACCGATTACTTCCAGCGGTTTTTCTGCTGTTACCAGTTTGTCCGTTAGCACACACTGCATGGTTTCCATTACATTAATTCTTCCATGGCGGGGCGACACGCCAAAATTCATCCCGCCATGGCTACATTACAGCTTCTCATTCAAAACATTAAATTTTTTTTAATAGCGGGTAATAATCACACCAAAACGTATTAAAGGGTAAATTAATTTTAACAGTGTGAACTTTTCTGTAACCGTAGTAGTGCTGTGCGTCATTTGTTTAACCTTTTAACGTTACGTGCTGACTGGCTGACCGACTGGTGCGTGATGCGTGAGGACAGCAAACACGATGTATAGCTGTTTCACTTTACTTCAGAACGCATTAACACTGGAGACATTCATAAATATTCCTAGCAAATCTAATAAATGTTGGAGACATACTTGTTACATAATTGCACTAAATCGCAATTCAGCAGCGTTTATTTGAGAGCGCACAAGAATATCTGCGGGCTCTTAAAGCAGCTTATATTTGAGGGGGCGTGCAAGAAGTTTTGTGCACGAGCAGAGGAAATCGGCGCCCAAGCAAAGTGATCTGCATGCTCGTAGGCTATTACATAAATGCCATCTCGACTTGTAATAATGCACACCGACATTTGTCATTGAAATAATGCCACATAAAAAAAAAGGCCTGCCACCACAGCTGGAAAAAATCCTACAGGAAACACTGCACTGTACCTCAGTGGACTTGAGACGCAGAGAAGAGTTGACCAAAATGAAAGGCTTAAGTCTGGCAAAAAACAGTTCCAGAAAGTGGGTAAAACAAAAACAGAAACCAAAAAATTTATAATAAACGAGTTGTAACGAACAAACGTTACATGCTTTAATTGTTGTTTTAGTTTCCTGTGATGTGAGAAGCACTGGTTGCAATATTACTACAGGCCACTAGGTTGCACTAGAGGGGAGTGAGAACTGGATATATTCCAGCTCACCATAGAGCAAGTGAGTCGTGTTTGGTAGAGGGAACCACATGGTGAACTGAGGCTACCGACCCACTCCGGTTCTGATTGTTTTTGAGAACATTATTGTTGCTGCTCAAATGTGAGTATTGAATACGTTTTAAGTTTGAAAGTATTTTCAATGGTTGGTTGTAATTTGCCCTATGTTTATTTCTTATGTAGACAGGACCTGTTGTCCTAGAGATGTTCAGATGAGGTGTTTGTTGGTGCTTTCAATGGACTGCAATGATTTGGTTTCAACGTTCTTTATGCTTCTCATTGGCAAATGAACTATATGTGTACACGTGGAATGACGGTCAGTGACTCTTAAATTCATCATACTACCGTTTTCCCAGTGTGAGGAAGTGGATCTTATTGCATCGCACTCAAATCCATCTACCCAACACTCACCCAACCATCTATATCATTTACACAGACTGTTTACATTCAATGACTGTTTGATTTTGGATACTGATTACTTTTGTTTGTGTGGACTAAATACTGTATACACATGTAGAGAAATTAAACAAGAAGGAAAAAGGGAAAAACAGGCTTGTGAAGTTAATTTTAATTTCAGTATGTGTGAAATAAAAATTCTGTGAACTCCCTCAGTGTAACATCTTGCATGCATAGAGGTGGTGTTACAGAGTAAATAAATGGAGTGAGAATGTGGTGAAATCTCAAAACGTGGTAAAAATTAGACAGGAGCCTTTCTTTTTTTGGATTGTTTTTTAAACTGTTGGTTGGGTTTAGGGAAGTGGATGGGCAGGTCAACTGGTGCTTTTGAAAACACTATCAGTTAGGTTTAGGAGGGGAGAAGGGTGAGTCAATCCATCAGTCAGTCAGTCAGTCAGTCAACAGTGGCCTCTGGTGGACTTTCATGAGAACAGCAGGTGCAAATGGTACTTGCTGGAGAAAGTTGAGATCTGAAAAAGTGTACACAGCGCCCTCTAGTGGATTCGTGAAAACAAAAACAGCAAAAAAAGTACCTCCTGTGACGTATTTGGTGCTCTTCAAAAATGTATATAGTGGAACATTTTCAGAATGAGCCTGGGTTGCAAGTGGGAGTCCTGCTGTACTTCTCAAATAGTCTGAATTGCTGTGAAAATGCATATAATCTCAACCAAGTTCTTGATTTCCATAGCTGTAAACTGTATTTAATAGCTGAGCACAATAAGAAACTTGATAAGAAACTATAACAAGTCAATCTAAAGGTATGTCTGGATTGCAAAACAACGATTGTGTTTGAGTTAACTCACGAGTGTGTCAGCAGGATATTGAATCTGGACACTGATCCATGTATTTGGCCTTGGCACAAAAACAACTATACCCCCTGACATCATACTGGTGAGAGAATCAAACTGATATGCAGACATTAAATCCACCCAAAGCCTGCAGCACAGCAGAAAGCAATAGTGTCGTTGATTCTGAGGTTTCAACACAAAGCCTGCCTTACCCACAATATCAGATTCAACACTGTATCAGATTCAACAAGTGCCAGTTTTACGATAACACACTTATCTGTGTTCCGTTTGTTTAGTTGCCTTCCTGTATAACTTTATCAGTTGTGGCATACCTCGTATTTAACTTAGATTACAGATGGTTTGATAAAACAACAGATACACTGAATTATGCACTGTCAACTGCTTCTTGTAGCGTCTTAATCTCGTGACAAAGCCATCTTTATTATGATCTCACATCAAAGAAGACACAATGCACAAGTCAGGCACAATATAGAGAGCTATGCGGAGAAGACAAAAGAGTAAGAATACTGTTACACTGACACAGAACTAAATCCTTGAGGTCATTATAAGTGCACAGTTCAATATAATGCACATTTTTCCATAGAGGGATGTCTTAGAGGTATAGGTAAAAGTGATTTTTCTTACGATATGAATACAGTTTAATCACATGGGTTGAATAGCTCTATTTGCAAAGAAATCATTAATTAGGATTGATTGGGGTGATTTTCTAAGGGTGTGAATTAGGGATGTGCGATTAATCGAAATTGAATTGCAATTGTGATTTGAAACGTTTCAATTAGCTTATCATAAGAGGCTGCGATTTGAAATATTTATGTATTATATAGTTTCCCCCACTCAGAGCAAATGCGTGACAGTCTCACTAGCCAATTGAGTAAGCACACTTTCGTTTTTCCCAATCAGAATTGCGCAACCGAACTATGTGGAAAACCCACAATAAAACAGGAAAGCGCGGACAAGTGGGATGATGGCTTCTGCCGCTTCAGAAGCATTAATAGCCAAACTCAAATCAAGGAAAAGCAGTATGTTGGTAATAATGGGAATATTTTGGTTTCAAAATCAGAGACGCCAACAAAAGCAGGTAGTTTGTAAGAGCTGTCCCAGAATTGTCGCCACAGCACCAGGAGATAACTTACACCATAACTCACTACTGTTTGCTCTAAAGAAAAATTAGTGTTTAATTTCTGAATATTTCTAAACAAATTTGAAAAAAAGTTAGTTCATATATTTTCAGTTCCTTTTTAACTAACAGAATATTGAGCTGAAGCTTGACTACAAAATTAAATCGCAAATCAAACTGAAATCAAAATATCTGTTAATAAAAATCACAATTAGATGTTTTTACCAAATTGCACAGCCCTAGTCTGAACCATGTATTAAAATATATAGTAAACAAATTGCAAGCAAAAATAATTACAATAGAGCAACAAAAAGAGTCAAATGAACAGTGTTTTATGGTTTTCCGTAGAGTCAAACAGTATTTATTTATTCATTCATTCATTTTCTTGTCAGCTTAGTCCCTTTATTAATCCGGGGTCGCCACAGCGGAATGAACCGCCAACTTATCCAGCAAGTTTTTACTGACAATTTAGCCTACCCAATTCACCTGTACCGCATGTCTTTGGACTGTGGGGGAAACCGGAGCACCCGGAGGAAACCCACGCGAAGGCAGGGAGAACATGCAAACTCCACATGACTAAAAAAAGTATATTTATCTGCCTATACATCGGCCTTCAAGTTTAATCAGTTATCAGTTCAGTTTTGGTGCATCTATAAAAGTGTGACACCTTCTAACAATAAAGCAAATAAAACAAAAACCTCTAGCTTAGCCTCAAATCACATGCTCAGGATGTTGGAAGCAGGGTGGAGGCCCCGTGTTGGCAGACTGGTAACTGTGAGGAGGGTAAGCTTTAAACAAACAAAACTCTAATGAAGCATTAAAGAGCCTGGTAGCTAGTAGATTGACTGTTTCCTCTGGGTTCCACGGCAGGGCATTAATTACAGCAAAGGCTGTTTTGTCAGGGGCAGCATATGAGCTGAATTCAAGGTCTTTTAAAGCGAAATTTCGTAGAATATGCCTTTATGTCAGTCATCAGGGTTTATGTGTTTTCATGTCTACGAGGAATGTAGAAACACCTCATTACTAAAATGGCTGGCCTCATTGGCAAAATACACAAGCCAAAATAATATGCACACCACCTGCAAGACAGCAAGATTACAAAGTCAACTGACTTCCACTGGCAAATTAATTTGAAGGCTTTAGATCTACTGTGTAAAAACTAGCATTTCTAATCAGAGTCCTGAATGACCTCTTTAATATTTCTCAACCCTGTAAAACACACAGGACCTGTTGAACCTTTATAATTGCTGGACAATGTTTTCAGAGATTTCTGAAATGTTGCCAAGTATTTTTGGTTCATTTAAAACCAACAGATATCAGCTCTGAGATCTCTAACTCTTGTTGTTCTCAGCATTCAAACAAGAGAGAACTGACTGGAGATTTGGGTCGACATTTGGCTTATGTACTCACTCTTCTCCTACACATACAAAGACACACATATGGTATAATCAAGCCAAAGCCTCCTTAAAGAATTAATTAACAAAGAGTAGACAGAGGATTTAGGACCACAGAAGGTGATTGATCTGATAAGATCATCCAGTTTATTTCTCATAGTACTCAAAATACCAATGAGATAAATATATTCTAAACTTAAACTACAAGAAGTAAAGAGGAATTTTCTGCTGTAGGAGAAACTGTGTGAATCTTTTCGTTATTTCATACATGTCTTGCACCTCAGAAGACAATACTGACACACAGTGAATGTGTGGTGACACAGAGCACAGACGCTGTTGATTCTGGAGGTGATTAATAATATAATAACACTAATACTGAAATGATAAAGCTTTTTAGAATGACAAAAACATTTCAGATGCTTTATAATGCATTCAGCATGCTGGATTTGTCCATTCACATACATTTTTATCATCACATGATTTCCTATAACAAAATCGCATGATCATTTTTAATGTGCATACTGTACTGGTAAGTGTTTACATCATATTTTATGCGCATCTTTTCTTATCAAATAAAGTTTATACGACTCAGTTATGTGCAGAATTTTTTATGCGCATTTTAAAAATGTATGCACATCTTGGCGTTTCCATCAACCGATTTTTCACATATGTGCATTAAAACAGGTAAATGTAAATTTAGCTATTGACCAATGAACATTTCCTGCTTGTTATCAAACTATTTAATAACTGTAACAAGAGACAATTCAATAATAACTTATATAATAACTTATAATAATTATTTATCAATATGTGCCTCTTTTTAGATTCTCGGTAGCTAAATAAACAAAAAATGTAAGACAGGAAATATCTTAAGACCATTGTTTTTATTTACATCCCTCAAAATGGTCTATACTGACAACAGTAACAATGCTTTCCAACCCAGGCTTATTCTGATTACGTACTCCTAAATACATTTGTGGAAGGAGCAAAACCAAGACCAATGTTTTTTTTGCAGCTTTTTTGTATTTGTGTTTTTGCCAGAGGCTGATGTGTAGGCATTTTCAGATGTCAAATTTCTCTAGCGAGTGCCATTCACGCCTGCTGTTCTTAAGTAAATCCACCAGAGGCTGTTGTCGACTGACCGATCAGCCCACCCTCCCCCTTCCCTAAACCCAACCAATAGTGTTTTAAAAAAAGCACCAATTGACCCACCCACCCCCTTTCCTAAACTCAAGCGCAGTGTTTTTGAAAGCAATGCAGAAAAAGAAAAGTGCTTACGGCAACCTGATTTTTACCACGTTTTCAGATTTTACCACATTCTCACCCTGTTATTTACTTGTTTATTTTATTTTTTGCCTTCTGTTTTTGTTTTACTTGCTTTACAGAACCATTCTTCACCGGACTCAAACCCCGTTTTCACAATCAACTCCACTCTGCATTTCAAATCCATGTACATGTCGAGCTAACTGGACAAATTGGTAACAGCGGAAAAGCCATCCATACGGGGGTAAGCCGTCAAAAAAAAGGTGTTTACGGCCTGGTACTAAGAACGATTTTGGTTCAAATAGCTGATATTACCACTCATGACAACTGTGAGGTTGGTAAAAAAAAATTTATAACTTGTCAGTTTAATTTATGTTAAGTTATAATAAGTCTGCATAATTAAGGGAGTGGCCATTTGAGTGACAGCTAGGTCTCGCTGGTCGCCATCACGTCAGCTCAACTTTAGGTGGCTTTACACAGTTTTTGCTTTTTGGAAATATTTCTTACAATTATCAGATAATATGGCATGCTGTGTGCACCTAATTGCTCCTAAGTGCTCACAAACCG